GACCGACAGTGCTGCTCAGTGTCCTGTTCTACAGATACTCCATACTCGCTGCGTTTAAATTAGGAGTAACGAACCAAGCAGCAGGGACACGTTTGGCAGTAACCATCACAGCAGTGATGTACCGTGACAGGTCAGTGCAGAGCTTGGTTTGTTTTATAGAGCCTTGGCAGCACCTGTCCTTTCTGGGAGAGGACAGTTTTGCACAAGCTCTGTGACAAGGTAAAGAACCAGTTGTGAACAAGGGCTGTCCCGCCGTTACCCAGCAACACCCAGGATAAGTCCTAGGAAGCCCGAAGGGGGGCCTGATTCCCCACGGAATTCGCTAGGAGGCAGAGCAGGGAAAGCAGACCTTACCTGCTGTGGGAGAGTGCCACTGGCCCATTTTACAGGCTGTGAGGAGTTGACTCTGCCAGCATTGCATCCCAGAGAGCAGCCCAAAGCCTGCCCCTGAGGCTGGAGGGGCTTCCACACACATGTCCATGCAGTCGGAAGCCGTGCCAGAGCCCGCCCTGATGGCAGAGGGATTCAGGTGCTTCCAGGTGGCTTCTGCAGCAGCTCCTGTCCCTGCGCAGGCTGCCTACGGGCTGGACGTGAGGTGTGCGTTTTGCAGCAGGCACACACACCACCCCCCCGCAGGGACGTGTAAAAGGACATTTGGGGTGAAGTAGATTTCCGACTGTCCTCAACCCAAACTTGTTCCCAGTCATGGTTTCAGTATTTCTTTGGTCTAAATGTTGACAATATTTGCCCAGTAGTGTCACAGAATGTCAGTGTAGAAAACCTCCTGGAAAAAGGTTCTGTGGGTAAACCACCAAGACTTTAAACATTATTTTGATGTGATCAGTATAATGATTAGTGAGCTCCTCAGGATGGAGGTTTCACTGTTGCTAGATGCATGGTACGTCCTGTTTATGTGGGGCAGGGTCGTTCCGTGGGTGTTGGGTTGCTCCGACACTTGCGTGTTCAGGAAATGGCAATTAGGGCCTGGCAAATACCGTAACGGCCCTGAATCAGAGCTGGGAGTTTGGTTCCAGGATTGAAGGGAGGAAATTTGTCTTTTCTGCCTGCTGCACTTGGAACAGTTCTTGGAATAGCCACTAGAAATTAAAGTAAAGCTGACTCTAGGTGGTACTGATGGATTAATAGCAAAGTAGATTACTAATGGGCTTTTTTTGGTCTCTTAGGAAGCAGAGATCCTGAATACAGCTATTCTCACAGGGAAAACAGTGGCTGTCCCTGTCAAAGTGGTCTCCGTGGAAGACGATGGGACTGTGACTGATCTTCTGGAATCTGTGGAGTGCAGATCATCAGATGAAGACGTCATTAAGGTAGGATCGCATACTGTTCCATTTTACAAGGGCAGAGGCCCTACAAAACAGTGTGACAAGTTATTTCATCTTCCTAACTGTTCTGCTGCTGGAAGACAGAGGTTTTTTATCCTGTTACATATAGGTTGGGTCAGTGGAGCAAAAAAACACACACAAAATCACACATTTTCCACCCCGCATGTCAGCTGCTTTGAATTGTCTGTCACTTCCCACTTTTGAAGTATTTTTGGAGTTCGGTCTAGCTTTGCCTTTTACTTTTCAGCTACATGGGCTGTGTATGTTTGGGAATGTCATCAGCTGATCTAGAGAAGGAAGTAATTCCTCTGAAGCTAGCTCCACATTGGAATGGAAGCTGCATGACTCAAAGTTTAGGTTTTGTCTTGGAGCTGACCTGGTATTGTATTGCAAACATTCGATTTAAACTCGGAGTTTTTGTTGGTCACAATTGCTACCAGGATGTCACACAGAAAACATGGTGGCTGCCCATCATGGACCAGGAACTCCTGGATACAACACTCAGCAGAGTGGATTTACTCTGTACAACAGCTCTGTAGCCTAAAATTCCCTGAAAGGTACATGGCAGGCGATAATACGCTGCTGCTCTTCGGTGCTGACTCCCAGCATGTCCACCCCTAGGCAGTGGCAAGGGGAGAGGTGCCAGAATGCCTTTTTATTACTGAAATGTTTGGGTCAGACGGGACCCTCAAGAAAATTACTGCTTCTTGAAGGCTTTGGACTTGTACCAACATGACTGCTTGAGGCTTGTAAGAAATCCTGCCTATTCCTGCTCAGCTCGGGCAGTGGTTGACGGGCCACTGGTGGTGGCGGGGTGCGGGCAGCGGTGGTGACTGTGGGAGACGTGGGAGAGGGTAGTCCAGCACGGTGACAGAAATGTTGGCTCACCCGTAGCAGCTCTGGTCTCTTCAGGCTCAGCTGTGGCTGTCACTTGAGAAGAGAGAGAGACGGCTACAAATCAAAGTTAAAACAACTTTTTTTCCCATAGCCAGAATGTCACAAAACGACTATAAATCCTCCAGGCCGCCCCTCCGGCGGCTGGAAATCACTGTTATCCCGTTAACTTCTGTGAACTGCACCATACTGAGGGCTCAGTGAACTGTGCCTTAGCCTGCAGCTGACTGGAATGCTGGGCTCCCCTGTTCCGTGAGTTCGGTTTAACTTGGGTTCAAGGGCTGAGGGTGCCCACGCGAGCCTCCCGCTGCCTGAGAGACTCCAGGAGACGGCTTTTGCCGTTACAGGCAGATGCATGTAGGTACTTGGCCGTTGCTGTTGTGTGGGAAAGCGTTGGGCTTTAGAGACACACTGACGCGTTTAGCAACTTTGTGCTACAGAGGGAGGGACAGCTTGGAGCGGGGTAGTTGGAGGGTGGAGCTGGGTATAGGTTTAAGTGATCTTTCTGGAGCTTTCTCTAAACAGATTGGGGTTTTTTGTCAAAAATTTGTGACTTTTACACTCATCGAACTTGTTTTAAGTAATTCCTCATGATAATTTCGTATACATAGGACGGACCAGAGCAGTTTTGAAGTCCAGCATTTTTTATGTTTCCATTTGGAATCTACTCAGGGTTCCTGTTTATCTGAATAGCCACCATGCTGGTGTTTTCTGATTAAATGTGTCTTTCTGGCGGTCTTAATAGGGACATTTTTTTTTTTTTGCTTCAATGAAGCCCTTTTGAATCTGGAAAATCTGCCAAATAAAGCAAACTGTTGGACTCAATCTAGGTTTAATAACAGAAAGAAACTATTTGAGGTCCTTGTGTGGTGGAAGTTAATGGACTAAGTCTTCACTCGCTAATTCACTCATTAACTAACTCACTGCTTTCTTCAGAGAATTAGAAAAAGTAATGTGAAAGCCAATATATCATTTGGAAGATTTTTTTAAAAATCAGTTTTGTTATCCAAAGTTTTAGCTTATTGGAATGAGTTGGGGTGTTCTCTGGATGTTTGTGTGATGGTTTTGTCTGATGTAAACCTGCAGCAGGGTGTAGTGTACGCTGCGCTCACGTCTAGCCCGGGCAAAGAGGTTAAAGTTGGAGCACGGCTTAAGTGTACGTCTGTCGCTGGCGGTAGTACGTGAATAGACCAGTAAAGGCTGGTGTGCTTCACGCTGTTCACATTGCAGCATTGCACAACACTGCTGCTGACAGGCCCTGTGCCAAAACAGGAGTCACCAGTCAGAGATGAAGGCCTTGCGGGCTTCTGCTAACTTCCCACTGGAGTCCAGTGCCCCACCACAGGAAGGCAGGTTTCAGCAGGGTTCAGATGAGTCGCCAGTTTAACGTGAGCTCTTAATTGAAAGTGTGTCTCTGCGTTTCCAGTTTACCTGCTCTGCTTCAGACTGAGCCTTTCTCACAGACATCTTGCCTAATGAAGATAAAGATACATAATTACCGGCCAGCCTTTGGCATGCAACAGTAATTAGAGTTTCTCTTCTCTGGGCATTAGGGTCGGGAATATAAGATGAAAGAAAAGGTCTGCTTGAAATGCCCACTGAAGTGTGAAGATGAAGTTTATGTTTCTTGGTGTCTTTACTGACAGATTGATTATGTCTTCGTGGCTTCGCTTTTATCCCTGTCTTTTGGTGTTGATTAATGATCAATCTAAGCTCATTTTCCTTGCCGAATGAGGATACCTCCTGCTTTAGCTTCAGGGGCCATGCGTGTTACTCGCTTCTTTCCTCTGCAACCTCAGAGAACTCTAAAGACCTGGACCAAATTCTGCACTGACTTGTTTTCTGCCAAACAGCATCTACATGAACTTGGTTGAATAACTCGGGACATAATTTAGTCTGAAACAATATTTCTATTGACAAATGCTTATCTGAAATGATTTGGTCGACCATGACAGAGTACCCACCCCCAAAAATGGAGGCATTTTATAGGCTTTGTTTCACAAATGAGGAATCTGAGATACAGAAAGGTCCGGGTGAGAATTTCAAAGTGCTATAAAAACCTCTGACCATGGAAGTAGCTGTTTAAACTCTGCTGACCTCATGGAAAAGAGCGAGATTGGTGAGCAGATTATTTCTGCCGAGTTGCTAATATGGATTGAATTCTCAAGATGATTTAAATCAAGAATGAGGAGAGAGAAAAAAACATCTTCTAGTCTGTCATTTTGAAAAGACATTTCAGTTTCAAAATGGCCATTTTTTCAGTTTTTTAGGCTAAACAAAGCCTAAAAGTCTCTGAAGTGACACTTTCCACTGCTCTGGGTCTTCAGTTTGATGAGTTAATTGAAAATCTGCATTTTGCTTGCCCTGAAGGGAAAACACCTTTGGGTTCATTTTGATCAGTTAACTGAAAATTCCAGTGTATTCTCAGCACTGTCCAGCAGCCCCTTGCCAGGAATTGCAGGGGGAATCTGCCAACACTGGGAACAGGATCTGGTTTCTCTGGCTCTTTTTTATATTACTGCTTGTTTTGTAGAGGATGCCATTGAAAATCCATGCATTATCCAAAATTGGAGGCTTTTCTAAGAAAACAGAGGTGCAAAGCCAGGCTCTGCCAGCCGCAGCTGCAGGGCAGGTTATTGCTGACGGGGCCAGGGCTCGGTACCTGCTTCATTCCACTCGCTTTGTGCGGGACAACAGCGCACTGGGTGATCTGTAAAACATTACTGCAGACTAGTAAATCTGGCGTGCCTTTGTCAGTGGGAAAATAGCTTCTTTCTGACCGAGTGACAGACTTCACTGAAGCTGGAGTGTCGGAGCGTTTGGAGTAGCCTGAAGCAGAAAGTGTTTAAAACCATTAAACTTTGAACAGCTGTTTCTCTGCTTTCAGACACTGGTGCACGTCAGGGAAAAGTCGAATTACTTCTGCAGTCAGTGGAGTGACAGAGTAAAAAATCAAAGGGAGAAGATAATTGGGTCCAGAATTTTATCTGCTCATTGGTTGAGCATTGGCAGTTCCAGTGCTGCTTTGAGGGCTGGGTGAGGATCCAGTTCAGGCTGCCGTGGTTCTCCACAGTGTGACGTGGTTTCTCTCACCACCTGAACTGCCTTATTCCATCTCAAATAATTTTGATCTGTCTTGAAACAAACATTTGATTTAAGTCAGCAAATGGATGTTTTTATTTTCTGCAATGTCTAAACATTTCATCTCATAGAAAATGGCAAAATCATGTCCTGTCTTTTCAACTCAGCTTCAGTATTTCTGACATTGGAATCTTTCTGAGCTTTTCACCTTAGGATGAAGCAACTGTGAAGGATACTTTTTCTGATCTGTTCTAGTAATCAGATGGGATGAACTCAGAAAAATGTGCTGTCAAAACCAGAAGTTGTAATAATAACTGTGAAGTTCAGTCCGATGCTGTTGGTTATAAAGGGAGCAGGAACAGTTCTCGTCTCTGATGGAGAGCAGCCGTGGCAAAGGGGAGCTCTGAATGTAGAGCTGATGTCACAGTCCTGCATCTCCTGGGAATGGTCTGAAACTCACCTAAAGCTGGTGCAGTTACTGGATTTGTCTCTTTCATATTCTGCCAATTCGTCATTCTGATGTGAATCTTGAGAAATAACAAGGTTTCTGTAGAGTTGTTTGCCTTTTTGTAATCATCTGGGCTGAAAATCTCAGTGTGACTGGGACAGCTGCTGTCGACTAGTTTCTTTACATTTAGGAAGGGCTGTAAGCATACAAAATACAAAACTCTGTAACAGAAAAATACAGTTAATGCCTGAATTGAGGCTTCCTCAGGATTCTACAGAAGATACCAAGAAATATGTCTCTGTGCTTAATGGGGGGAAGAATATGTGTTCTTGTCGAGCCAGGACTGGTAATTTCCTTCTTTCTGTGGGTATTTCTGTTCCTCCATGGGAAGGATTATGTCTGTTTCCATAAAAAGAACGAGGCAAAAGTCTGAGGAATATCCAAACAGTGATGCTGAAGAGGATGTGAGTGAGGAATCCTTTTGAAGAATGGGGCAGGGGTCGTGGCTGGTGACCGAGTCGTTTATGCAGAGATGTGGTCAGCTATGATTGAGAGGAGGGGG